CTTTTTTTTTTGTTTTTTTTTTCTTTGTTTGTTTGTTTTCTTGTTTAGGATTACATTGGCTATTTGAGCTTTTTGTGGTTTCATATGAATTTTAAAATAGTTTTTACTAGCTCTGTGAAGAATATCATTGATAATTTGACAGAAATAATTTGTGCTGAATCTACACATTGCTTTGGACTAGTATGTCCATTTTAATGATGTTGATTCTTCCTATCCATGAACATGGAATATTTTTCCATTTGTTTGGTCTTCTCTGATTTCCTTGGAAAGTGTTTTGTGGCTCTCCTTGTAGGGAATCTTTCACCTCCATGGTTAGTTAGCTGTATTCCTGCTATTTTGTTCTTTTTGTGGCAATTCTGAATAGGATTGTGTTCCCGATTTTGCTCTTGGCTTGACTGTTGTTGATATATAGGAATGCTAGGGATTTTTGTACATTGATTTTGCGTCCTGAGACTTTGCTGACCTTATCAGCTTAAGGAGATTTGGGGTCAAGACTACGGTGTTTTCTAGATATTAGATCATGTTGTCTGCAAACAGGAATAATTTGTCTTTCATTCTTCCTATTTGGATGTCTTTTATGTCTTTCACTTCCTGATTGCTCTGGCCAGGACTTCCAACAATATGTTGAATAGCAGTGGTGAGAGAGCACATCCATGTATTGTGCTGGTTTTCAAGGGGAATGCTTCCAACTTTTGCCCATTCAATAGGATGTTGGCTGTGGGTTTGTCATAGATGGCTTTTGTTATTTTGAGGTATGTTCCTTCAATACCTAGTTTGTTGACAGTTTTGTTTTTGTTTTGTGTTGTTTTGTTTTTGTCTCTCTGTTGCCCAGCCTAGAGTACAGTGGTAAGACCTCAGTTCACTGCAACTTCTGCCTCCTGGGTTCAAGTGATTTTCATGCCTCAGCCTCCTGAGTATCTGGGACTACAGGTGCACACCACCATGCCCAGTTAATTTTTATTTTCCTTTTTTGTACTCTTATTACAGATGGGGTTTCGCCATGTTGTTCAGGCTAGTCTTAAACTCCTGGACTTAAGTAATCCATCTGGTTCAGCCTCCCAATGTGCTGGAATCACAGGCATTAGTCACCATGCCTGGCCAGTTTGTTGGGAGTTTTTAAGTAAAGGTGTGTTGAATTTTATCGAAAGCCTTATCTACATCTATTGAGATAATCATGTGGCTTTTATCTTTAGTTCTATTTATGTGATGAATTCCATTCATTGATTTGTCTATGTTAAATTAACCTTGCATCCCAGGGATAAAGCCTACTTGATTATGGTGGATAAGTTTTAGATGTGCTGCTGGATTAATTTTGCCAGTATTTTGTTGAGGATTTTTGGATTGATGTTCATTGAGGATATTGGCCTAAAGTTTTCTTGTGTGTGTCTGTGTGTGTGTGTGTGTGTGTGTGTGTGTGTGTGTGTGTGTGTGTGTCTGCCAGGTTTTCATTTCATGATTATACTGGCCTCATAGAATGAGCTGGGGAGAAGTCCCTCCTACTCAATTTTTTGGAATAATTTTAGCAGCAATGGTACAAGCTCTTTTGTGTACATCTGACAGAATTTGGCTATGAATCCATCTGGTCCTGGGCTTTTAAGGGTTGGTAGGATATTTATTACTCCTTTAATTTCAGAGCTCATTATTAGTCTGTTTAGGGATTAAATTTCTTCTTGGTTCAGTCTTGGGAGGGTGTATGTGTCCAGAAGTTTTGTAAAAATATGGAACATTTCATGAATTTATATGTCATCCTTGTGCAGGGGGCCATGCTAATCTTCTCTGTATCTTTCTAATTTTAGTGCATGTGCTGCCAAAGTGAGCACTAGAAGATTTCAAAAGACAATCATATTCATTATTAGTGATAAATTTGTTTGCTTAAGAAACTGTTATTCCAATCTTAGAAGTGTCCTGTCTAAAGTCCATATATAAAATATAATTTGAAACATCTTAAAATTATCTGGCTACTTTAAAAAATAATTTTAAAACTCTATCCTAATTATCAGACTAGTAGAAATAGGTATATATTAGGTGGCTAATATCCACTTGATGGATTAAGTTATTTCGGATAAAAATTTTGTTGTTTTAAGTGAGCCAGGCCACTGGTAGTAAACTGCATACTTATTTTGTTTTGCTAGTCTTTTGTCATTATGCATATTAGTTTTTGCTTAACAATGATGAAGAAAGCAAGAAATTACTTGTCAGCAAAAGATGCTAACAAATGGTACTGAGACATATGAAATCATGAAATAAATATAAAATATGCTATAAAAATATTTATGTTTTATTTTTATTCTGGTGAAAGTTTGTAGAATGATTAACATTTATTTCTTAGCATGTTATTTTTTACAATTTTTTGCTACACTTGCATCAGAAACATATAATGTATTTTAATTTTACTGTTTGTTATTAATAAGCAGTTCTCAAATTTATGTGCCTTAAAGCAATATAATTTTGATTTTTGTTCAAGTATATTTCCTGCACAGATTGACAGATACCTCTACTCATTGTAGTTGGTAAGGAACCCAAACAGATGGAGCATCCACCATGTAAAATATATCCCTCTCTATGTCAGTCTCACACAGGCAATTATATATTATTGGAAACAATATACAGAATTTATTTACCGGAATTACATGGAACCAGCACATAATTACAAATGAACCAGAAAATACAATCCTACCATTTTTCCTGGAAGACATAGAGGTGGAATTATTTTTTTGGCATCAAAACGGCTACTACATTGTTCATTATATTATTTGTTGTAATAACAATTTATATGTATTGTAAGTTAGCATAGTGTAGTGATTAGAAGTATATATTCTTAAATATATATATTTAAATTGTGGCTCTGCCATTTAAGTAAGTTCAGCTCTCTGTTTTGTAGTTTTTTCATCTGAGTATTTTGATACTTTCTATAAAGCATTGTTTTGAGTATTAAATATGGTAATATAGGTTTAAAACACTTAGAACATTGCCTTGCAAAGATATTCCTATAATTTTAGGAAATTTATCATAAATCCTATAAATTTAAGATTAAGAGTTAGATTTGATCTAAGATTTAAATTTACATAGTGTGCAGAGTTAAGTAAGTTATCTTTCCCTTGAATGTTTGTGCATCTAGAGATTCAAATAAAGATACAAGGGGAAAATGTTCAACTGTGACCTTGTAGGGGCTGTGTCTTACATAGGCAAATGTAGCTTGGCTAACCTTCTAATGCTGACAGGGACAAGGGAAAGTAGAGAAGAGAAGTTCAGACTCTGGTTCAGTAGCAAGGCTGCTTCCACAGCTTTTGGCAAGGGACTGAAATGAATGAGAGGTGAGGAAGTTATCTTTTGTTGCAAAGGTGATAGTTAATTTTCTGGTTCTGTCATGAAAGCAACTCCTAAAGCAGCAGCAGTAAAAACTCTGATTAGCAATAATGAGGAAGAATCTGTTATTGCATTTACATGGTTGATACAGAGAATATTCATAAAATTACCACAAGGTATTAGTATTGGTCAACTTTGGGAAATGCCTTAAGCCTATAACACTTTCTTAAGTATACTCTTGGTGAGGACATATTCTTCACCTTGTTGGAAATATGATTTTTTATCAAAATTAATGGCTGAAGCACAACCTGGATGATTAAACATGGTAATACCATTAAAAAAGTAAGTGCAACTATGAAGTAATGGTACTAGAGTTCTATGGTTCATAAAACAATACAATAGGCATTTGTTTAAACAAGTTTTAAAAAGTTTCATATATGAGCAGAATAAATTTCTAACCTGATCTCTTTAAAAGTGAGCATTTGTTTGAAGATACAGATATAATAATATGTAAGTATTTTAATTAAAATATAACATGCATGTATAATTCTATAGGTTCATATATCGATTGTGTATTTATTAACTAAATTTTGATTTATGGAAGAATATTAAAGCAACCGAATGTCTTGATTTGGTATATTAAACTCACACAGGTTTTTCAACTCATTATATATATTGTGTAAATAGGTTTTATTGGGGAAAAATCATATAGTGTAAGAAGAAAGCACATGATTATTTGTTATTTTGTGTCTATGACTAGGTCATCTGAAAAAGTTCTTGCTGTTTATTTGTGAGTAGACTCTTTGGCAAGCTACAAGTCTTGTTAGCACAATGTTAACACTGACATTTATCTTTTATTCTTCATTGCCTCCAAATATTTAAATAGAATAGTATTCATAACAACAAAAAAAATAACCTAAGGAAGATTTTTAAAAATCCAATCAAAGGATCCATTGTGGTGCTCAATTAGGGCTTCTAAGAGCATTCAGGTGAATGGATTGCCTGCTCCTTATTCTGGTTCCTGAAATCAACCTGTGCCTGATCTATGTTGCTGGACATGCAGTTGCTTAGAGTGTAGAGACCTAGTTAGGTGACCTATTTCTTTTTATTTTTCTCATTCGACTTCTTAACAGAAGTATTGGAAATGACTTATGCATATGAATCAGAGCAAGCATTATATCCAGTATAAAGGTCAGCTATGCATGAAAATTTGGGGGACTTGGATAAAGTTGAGCTTCCACATAATGATCTTGCATGAAATGCAGATCAGGTGTGTAAGCAAAGAGAGTCTTCCACTGCCCACCTACAACTCAGTCTTCTAGAAAAGTGATCTCAGGTATAAACTCTGCTGTTGGCTTTTAGAGAAAGAAAAATTACCAATCTCTAGTCAACTGATTGCTATGCAACCTAAATTCCAAGGTTTCTTTAGGGTCATCTACTTGTCACTAGTCACACATTTCAAAGTCCTGTCTACATAATCTCAAAACATCAGATATAATTGAAAGAATAGTCAATCAGCATGATCCTGAAAACCCAAAGCTATGGTTAAGCTTCCAGGTTCATCAAAATGGGTCTTAAAAAAAATCAACAGGAAAAATAACTGTTGTATAGCACACAAGTTTATTATAACTTATCTAAAACTCTCTGTACTACAAGTATTGTAGAATTTAGAGGACTTTTAAAAAATATTTTAGAAACATAATACACTACATATGTATGTACTATGTGACATCCCAGTGGGATCTCTGGGCAAGGGCCCATAATCAAATATGGTAATATTTGTGTATCAAAATATGTCAGTATTCAACTACTTGAACTAGTAGGCACATATCAGTTGAGATCAGGTTTGCCATGAATGTTAAAAAATTTTGTTTTAAAGCTTTTTGATTTTTAATTAAATTTAATAATTATGGATTTGAATTTCAGTTTTATTCCGCAAGCCAAAAATGAGGAACACTCAGATACATTAACCTTAACTAAAGTGCTCACAAAATTTCAAATTTAACATCATAAAGATCACATGAATTTATATTTTAAATGATTGAGCTCTTTTTTTAATCTTATCAATACCAGCCAACTTGGTGACATTTAGAAGGTGCCAAGAATAAAAGATCTAGGTCAATGCAAACATGTGCTCAAAATGGTCAAAGAAATTGGTCACAAAATGTACAGCAAGAACTTCTTGTTAATAGACTGAGTCAAAGATGCTAAATACAGAAATATGGACCAACTATTTAGTTCTAAATATTAATACTTAATCCAAGCAGTTGCTTGAATTTGATTATTTTGAACATTCAGAATGAATTTTTCATTTTCATCTGACTATGTAGTAGGATCCAAAAAAGAATAAATGAATGCAAGAGAAAAAATTTAGTGATGAATGCTTATTATAAACGTACATGTACGTATGTGTGTAAAGTAATATTGATATCACATGAAATTAATGAGATAAAATTAGAGAGTGATGAATTTCAAGATCATGTTTAAAATTTGAATACACATGAGAAAGAAGTAAAATTTTACCCTATAAAGCATGATCCTTCTATTTATCTATTTAATTATTTATTTTATACTCATGCATATATTCAGTTAGCCAAGTAATACTAATGAATTCTGGGGGTACATAAATTAACATAATATAAAACTGGCTCTGAATTGCTCACAATCTTCAAGTACTGAGTTACACTTGCTTTTTCTCTATTGGTAAAGTGTACTTTCAATTAGTGAAATCATGGGTACCTTTAAATTTTGAGAATAGGTTCTCTGTGGCTGGAAAGATATTTTGGATTTTGACCCTGGTTGTAAAATTCAAGTAGTGTGTCTGTGACTTCACCTCCTTTTTCGCAGCAGTCTCCTTCCATTTGCTCTGCATATAACATAGGAATTTGCCGTTACTGTACTCACACAATACTACATTATGTGGTTTATCAGTCCATTTTCACACTGCTATAAAGAACTAACTGAGACTGGGTGATTTATGAAGAAAAGAGGCTTAATTGACTCAGAGTTCCACAGGCTTAACAGGAAGCACAACGGGGAGGCCTCACAAAACTTACTATTTATTATGGCAGAAGGCGAAGCAGGAAAAAAAAAAAAAACGTATCTTACAGAGTGAAAGCAAGAATAAGTACCTCACTTTTAAACCATTAGATCCCATGAGAACTCACTCATGATGAGAACAGCTTGGGAAAAACTGCCACCATGATCCAGTCATCTCTCATCATGTCCCTTTCTCGACATGCAGAGATTATTACAATTCAAGGTGAGATTTGCGTGGTGCTGAACCACATCATGTAGTGAAAGAAGTATGAATGTTTAAAGAAGCTCTTGGAAAAAATTAAGTCTTTACTTTTATTTTTATTTCCTCCTGTACCATTTGGCTACCACATAGATTCTAAGGAAGAATCTGTTCTTTGATGGGCAAAGATTTGAGCTTAGAAATTAATTACCTTCTGCCAGTTAACAGATTTATTTTAAATTCCTTTGGGAATAGGAAAAAAGAGCTTCAGCTTTG